TACCTCCTGTACCTCCCGTACCTATCGTACCTCCCAGTTTCTCCCATATCTCTCATACCTCCTGTACCTCCCGTACCTATCGTACCTCCTGTACCTCCCAGTTTCTCCCATATCTCTCGTACCTCCAGTACCTCCCGTATCAGTACCTCCGTACCTCCCGTACCAGTACTTCCCGTACCTCCAGTACCTCTCGTACCTCCCGTACCAGTACTTCCCATACCTCCAGCACCTCCAGTACTTCCCGTACCTCTCAGAGTGACCCAGTAGCCTCTCCACCTGCGTCGAGCCACCAGCTCCAGCTTCCTGTCTTTACTGACGGTGATCAGAGCTTTGAAGGAGAGCCAGCCAGCCCGTCGCACCACGCCCTGCTCCTCCTCACACAGGACGTCCAGCTGCTCGCCTCCTCCCACCTCCTCGTCTCCTTCCTCCACCTCTTCCTCCTCCTCTTCCTCCTCCTCCTCCGTCCTCTCAGCTGTGCTGCTGCAGCCTGTCTTTAGCTCCTGCATGAAGCTTTCATAGACGTTCTGCCGCTGGACGTCGCTGCTCTGGTTCTGGTTCAGGCTCCTGGAGGAGCCACAGTGGGCTGGTGTGAACTGGTACTGGTTCAGGTTCAGGGTGTGGAGAGGGTTGGAGGACCACAAGGTGCTGCAGTCCGGCCGGTCAACGGAGACATCGGTGGTGTCGCTGCCGTTCGGCTCCTGAGGAAGAAACATCAACTCTTTTATTTATTGTTAATAATACAATAATACATATTATTATTATTAATATCAAACATAATATGAATAATATAACGTTTATTAATAATATTATGTCTAAAAATAGATCATCACCTTGTTTATACAGTTAGTTTCTCTGAACTTGTTTCTCTGCTGTAGTCGTTTTTAAAGTGTTTATGAGTTTCTTTAACGAGCTGAATTTTACTCATTAAAGATAATTAGATGTTAATATGTTTAATTGAAATAAAACTACAGTAAAATAAAGAACCCTTAAAGTTCTCAAATCCTTGAAGTTAAACTACCTGGATATTTATGACTTCATGTACTACTACCATAAACTCTGTGGAGGACAATTATATCCAAAATTAAAAATAATTGCTTCATTATAAAAAGTATTATATCATAATACTCCACTAACTAAATGTTAAAAAACAGCAAACGGAGAAAAAGAAAATTGGATATTAAAATTGAAAATGGAATTTAATCTCCTGAAATGGAAAATAAAAAAATATCTGCGAGAAACTGGACAAAGAAAATTAACGATGGCTATTACTGTGAATCTAACACAAATACTGCTACAAGTACTTGTATTACTATTTCATGTATACAAAATATTTAAAAATAAATGAAATATGTTTTTATTGATGCATAAACTTCATCATGATTAAACGTATCGATCACGTGACGATCATGTGACTCACCTGGATCCTCCTCTTTTTCCTGCTCAGACTTCCGGTCCAGTCGCTGAGTCGGCGGATTCGGCTCTTCAGGAAGTCTTTGCGGCCGTTCTCGGCCCTGCGACAGGGAAGCGTCACGGAGGAGTAACGCTGCTCCACGCCTCCTCCTGACCCCTCCTCTTCCTGGATGACATCATTGGAGGAGGCGGTGGTGGTGGTCTGCTGCAGCGTGTCGTCCGGCGTCGTGGTGGGGAAGGCGGGCAGCGCGTTGTGGTAAACGCTGTCCAGCGAGGAGGAGGACGGCGACGCCGGGCTGAAGTCTCTCAGGTCGGCCGGCAGGATCACCGAGTCTCCGATGCCGCTGTCCTCCGTTCGCCCGGAGGAGGAGCAGGTGTTGTAACCGGCGACGGCGGCGATGGCAAAGTCGCCGGTGTCGGATCCAGGTGAGACGTCCACCTGGGCCGAGAAGACGGTGGTGGTGGTGTTGTTGGCGGTCTCCTCGGTGAACCTGTTCGCCGCACTCTGCCCGCAGACAAACACGTTGTCGACCAGCTCGCCGCCGGTGCCCCACGGCGAGTCGTACCAGGAGCCGTTGGAGCTGAGCGAGCTGCCTTTACTGGTGCGGAGGGAGGGTTCGGTGACTGCGGTAGCGGCGGCGGGGAGGAGCCCCTTTGGCTCCTTGCAGACTCCTCTGGCGTTGGTGAACTCCACCCTCATGCTGCCGTCTTTGCCAAGCAGCACCTTCGGGCTGCCACTGCCACTCTCCACGGACGTCCGCTCGCCGCCGCCCTCCACGAAGCCAAACTGGTTCCCTCTGAGGAACCTCTGAGGAGATCCGGCTCCTCCTCTGGTGGCTCTGGGCTCATAGTGCCAGGAGGTGTACGGTGGGTCGGCAGCACGCTGGTTCATGTAGCTTCTCACCCGGCTCCTGCCGCTACCCTGGCTGCTCCTCCACCAGCTGCGAGCCGACGGCACCTCCTCCCTCCTGGAGGAGAACCTGAGCGAGCTGGAGGACTTGGCAGGAGAGACGAAGCCGCTGTGACTGTCTGTGTTTCCCATCGCAGCCTGAAGGAGGACAGACGGAGACATGAACTGCTGAGAGAACTATTTCCATTCCTTTTGCATCATGTACTACTACCAAGAATACTTCTAACTCTACCACCAGGAACAGATTTTACCCCCCATTACTTCTACTATCTGTGTATTGGGCCCAAATCCTCAATCCCTTTATACACAAGTCGTTTCATACCTCGATGAGGATATATATCACAATATATAGCATGTTTTCTGCTAATACAATAAATCCAATAAATAAATCCCATATTTAATGACCACATGTCAAATTATTGACATATAAATAGTACTTTCTCATTTAAGAACTTTAATGCAAAATAATCAGATTGTCTACTTGTTATTCTCTATTTAAACAACGTTGATTGGGAATCTCCATGAACAATATAATATCGTTCAAAGACGATAAATGATCACATTGAATTACTGCTCCACTGATTTAGCATTGCTCTCCTAAAACACTGTTCAAAGGAACGTTTCCGTCGATGCAGAAGAAACACAGATATCGTCTTTTTTTAGTCCAACTCTCTCTCCTACAAAATTATGTTTCCATAAAACTAAACGTTATTCTCAATTACGTTTCGAGCGAAACATATTTTCTTCAGGACCGAGCGAGTTTTAAATCGTTCCAAACACGTGGTTAACGAACAAATCAAAACTAAAAACGCTATAAAACTACTTCGTTAGGCTTACTTAAAACATCAGGGTTTGACTTAAAATGACTACGAAATTGACACAACAAAAGAATTTAGTTCACACGAGACATAAAGACCGTCCACCCCCCCGACTTCCTCCCTACGAAAATAAATTGAATCCACCAACAAAAGACGTTTTTCCTTAAAACATAATTTGTTGTAACATATTTCTTCAGAGACAGGGATGTGAAATCACACATTGTTCTTCCTCCAGAAACCTGGAGCCTAAATGACCCACAATGCAACTAGACTTGATTCACTAGACTGTACATATAAACACTTCTTTTGATTCTGACTCGAGGTCCATTTACTGACATTAGTTAGTTAGCTTAAAGTTAGAATACAGCTTAAAGTAAGCTTAAAGTTAAAGTTAGCTTAAAGTTAAAGTTAGCTTAAAGTTAAAATACAGCTTAAAGTTAATGTTAGCTTAAAGTTAGAATACAGCTTAAAGTTAGAATACAGTTTAAAGTTAGAATACAGTTAAAATACAGCTTAAAATTAAAGTTAGCTTAAAGTTAAAGTTAGCTTAAAGTAGTGCTGGGCAACGATTCAAATATTTAATCGCAATTAATCGCATGGATTTTTTGCGATTAATCGCATTGTTATGGCAAAGTTCAATAATGAAAATCAAAAGTAGTGTATTGCGCACTTTTATTTTAAAAGTACTGCTATATGAACAAAAGGGCAATAACATTTGGTTCACGAGATGCAGGTAGCATGTTTTATACTTAATGTGAATATAATTCATACTTTGTTGGCATCTTATTCTGAAAACCGGATGTTCGTCTGAAGAAACCGGATGTTGTCTCACGTTAATCTTTCCGCTAACTTTCAAAGTCCTTCGCTTGCTCCCGATCTGTGCCGTTTGAATGCGTTTACCGTGAATATCAGCATATAGGTGCACTAACATGTAAGTGTCTGCTGAGTTGACCACGGAGATCTGAGTGTCTGCTGACTTTACCGCAGCGATGTCCAGTAGTCTCCAGGGAGAGCAACAGCTGGTGCAGCTTCTCTCTTTATTTCTGCCCCCCCCCCCCTCGACCAGAAGCGGAAGTCGCCTTTTCTCTACGGCAACCCTGAAGGGACATCATATCTCCAATACAAAACGATAAACATGAGACAGTCTGTTACAAGAATAATAAATTAAAAATACTTTTTGTTATTGTTTTTTAATTATTATTATTTATTTTTTTCCCATCTCAAAAGGCTCAAGGACATACACACACACACGTACACACACATACACACACGTACACACACACACCTGACTATAGGATGTTTGCTGGCTTTTATCCCACTGTTCTTGTCATCCTCTTGTTGTTATGTATATGTATTGTCTCGTCTTTCAGAAAAAAAAAAAAATTATAATAAATTTAAAAAATGCGTTAACACGCGATAAAATAATTGTTAACTTGCCCAGCACTAGCTTAAAGTTAAAGTTAGCTGAAAGTTAGAATACAGCTTAAAGTTAAAGTTAGCTTAAAGTTAGCTCAAAGTTAAAGTTAGCTTAAAGTTAGAATACAGCTTAAAGTTAAAGTTAGCTTAAAGTTAGCTCAAAGTTAAAGTTAGCTTAAAGTTAAAATACAGCTTAAAGTTAAAATACAGCTTAAAGTTAGCTCAAAGTTAAAGTTAGCTTAAAGTTAAAATACAGCTTAAAGTTAAAATACAGCTTAAAGTTAGCTCAAAGTTAAAGTTAGCTCAAAGTTAAAGTTAGCTCAAAGTTAGCTTAAAGTTAAAGTTAGAATACAGTTTAAAGTTAGAATACAGCTTAAAGTTATAATACAGCTTAAAGTTAGAATACAGTTTAAAGTTAGAATACAGCTTAAAGTTATAATACAGCTTAAAGTTAGAATACAGTTTAAAGTTAGAATACAGCTTAAAGTTAAAGTTAGCTTAAAGTTAGCTTAAAGTTAAATTACATCTTAAAATTAAACTTGGCTTAAAGTAGCTTTTTACAAGGAAAACATTTAAATGGAAAGTCAGTGTGTTGTGTTCTACTAATGTACTACTACTAATATGAAAATAAAAAATTAAAACTAAAATTAAAACTTCTTCTCCTACTACTATAATACTACAATCACTACTTCTGTGTCTATTCCTGCAGCTCAAACTAAAACTGATCCAAACACTCTTCAGTCTGTTCAGTTCAACCAGCGTCAGACACACGTTGAAGGAAATCACAGAAACATGAAAATATACAAACTACCCACTGATGTAGATTTGACTCTTAAAAGCTCAAATGAAGTGTTTGATAACAAACAGATCAAAAGTCATTATCGATCATAAAGAGTTT